GAGAAAAAGAGATACTTTATTTTTTATATATTCTTTTTGTTTTGTTTTATTTATTTGTTTTACAGATAATTATATTCAAAAAATGAAAAAACAATATTCGGATAGTCGATCGAAAGAAGTGATGGGTAAACTACGTGGCGATCTAAAAGATGTACAAAATATTATGTTAACAAATATACAAGATGTTTTAGGTAGAGGAGAAACATTACAGAGTAAGTATTAATAGAAATGATTATGATTACTATCATTGAATTAATAAACATTTTTTTCTAGCATTGGATAGAAAAGCGACTCGTTTAGCCGATTTATCTCAACAATATCGTAAAGATGCAAATTATTTAAATCGTATGTCATCATTGACAAAAGTAACATTTCCCGTTGGTATTATTGTTGTATTATCAATTTTAGCCTACATATTTATTTTTTAAATTTATTTTTAAATTTTTTTAAAATGATATGGTGTTAGATTGTCGTATTTCTTTCGTTTATTCTCATTGTTTTGTTATTATTTTGTGCTCAGTTAATATTATGTTTGTATTGGAGATGAATATATAATTTTCTCATTGTTTTTCTTTTTTGTTGTCGTCTCTTCGATAATAAAACATTTTGTTATGTATCGGTATACGTGAAGTCTATTTAACTTTAACGACAGTTTCTTAAGGATGGAGGGAGTTCTGTCGCTCGTTTTTTTACCGTTTTGTAGAGGACAGTTTGAAATACATATGGTAAAATATTTTCGGCCACCGAATTTGTAGTTTTGAAGAAAAAACAATTTTAAATTTTTTCTCGTTTTGTACCCTATTTTTAAAATTTCAATAAAATTTTTGTTTTTCGAAAGATAAGTTTGAATCTTTCATCATGCGATAGACCATGTTGAAGTGTTACTAAAAAAAAACTTGTTCATCGCCGTCGGATAAGGTTTGACGGAAAATTTTGGATCTGACTAGATTTTGGATCAGTTTTTGGTACAAAAAGTGTTTTGAAAAAACCTTGCACAGAGTTTCGCTCCAGGCAAGTATTATAGGAGGAAACTACGGGAACAAAAATCGTTCAATGTCAAATTCTACACTAGCTCACGAAGGGAAATTTTGAAATTTTTACGACTCGATTTTGAAATTAAATTTTTATAAACAGTATTTTTGCATTTAAAAATGTAATTTCTAAGATTTCAAAATTCGGTGGCCGAAAACATTTTACCATATGTATTTCAAACTATTCTCTACAAAATGGTAAAAAACGAGTGTCAGATCCTCCCTTAAATCAAATCAAATTTTATTGTATATCTATCAACATACGCGTATATTTGTCGATAATAGAATGACCACAGCATACTCATGTTAACACTCGAGAGTATTTACAGAAATTTCTGAAAGACATTAAGGTCTTTATCTCTTATAAATACACATTTTTTGATAAAAAGTTGATACTGAGCTAAGTACATGGGTAAATAGCCCAAGATTATACTCTCAGAATCCATCTGTTTTTGCCAATGTCAAAATTTCTGAGGATTTCAGAAAAGGTTTTAGAAAACCTTTCTGAAAAAAGATATATTTGCTTGCTATTATTTAAAAGAATCCTTTGATTTACAATAAAATGAATTTTATTTTGTTGAATTATTACTACCTGAAAAATTCTTCTCCGGTTCTAAGCTGAGAACCGAGAACCGCGGTTCTTTTCGTTTCGGTTCTAAGTCGAGAACCGGAACCGCCATTCGGTTCCCGAACCAAGAACCGAACATCCCTAATATTGACACCACCGTATCTCAAAATTTGTTTTCTTCGGCGCTTTACGAGTTTTCTAGAATTATTACTCAGTTTAAGTGTTAGAATGGTTTTGTTTTGTAGAGAAAATGCTGCCATTTTGATGATACAGAGCTGGATTTTAAAGTTTCGTTTAAGGTTAAGTAGACCCTTAAGTAAAACTTAGCATCTTCTAAATGAAACCATTCCGAGATCTTTACACCTTAACTGAGTGAGAATTTGGAAAACCTTAACATTTTGACGCCATTTTCACTGCTGCTGTAACAACATTTCGAGAAAGGAAAGAGAGTCAAGAAAAAATCTTGTCACTCTACTTTGACATGATCATCGTTCGCTGGTTGAGATTGAACTTAGAGTTAGTTACCGAAATAGATCGCACATTTGACTCGTATCTAAAAGAGATTTCATACATACAGATGTCAGACTCATTTTTGTCATTAACTACTATGGATATAATATTAAGTCACCAACACAAAAAATATTATTTTCAAAAAATATTAGCCATGACTCACGATAAGAGTTTTTGGTGCGACATGATCCTGGAAGAGTCTTTGAGCTCCCGAAGTGAGTTTAGTATGATTTTGACGCGACAAACCTCATGTAAGCAGAGTTCTGCAACCTGCGATTCTGAAAATCTGATTTAACTTCTATTATTAAATTCGACATACTTCGTTAAAATTTTAAACCTTATTTCGAAGTGGAGTCCTTTCACAATGCTTAGGATTACATGGTCTCTTTATCATTAAATAGCCCATTCAATTTGCTACAAAATGTAGGATTGAAAGATTTCTTCTCTCGCTTCATCTTTGAAAACTATTTAACTTTTTCCGAACTGTAAAAAATTTAGGGCCTTTTTTTGTTACAGCATACGGCCCGAAAAGTTTATCCCTCGAGCGCAAAGTCGACCCAAATTTGTTGACTTTTGTAGCATAGATAGAAGAAACTGAGCTGCGTAAAACAGCGCAAAAACCAATCATCTATCTCCTATACTTCTGGAGAAAATTGAGAATTATTGTGTCAAAAATATTACTGCGTGAAGCCTGGACAAGCCATTTAAGTCTAAAACAAAGAACATGATTTCTGTTACAAATATTCATTTATCTTTTCTATGCATCGTTTTATTAGTAAGCGCCACTTCTGAACGAGAATCAGCTCAGATAGAAGATAAACAAACTTTTATGAAAGCATGGAATATGATCATAAGCAACATCGTTAAAAAGAGCCTTCGAGAAAAGAAACAATGTTAAAGTCTGTTAGTGTAGCAGATGTAGAGATATTTTTAAAGGTCATCAATGGATGGCCGTAGCTAGAAAAAGCAGACCCTCAATTACGCGTTTTCCTTAAGATAAAAATTCGATTACCGCTTTACTAGAAAAAGGTTTAAATAATTGATTATCTACTTAATAGCTTAGTAATTCATCATCAGTTCTTAATATCTTAATCAAGATTATTATTCAATAATTTTGATTCCACATAATAACGCGTGTACCATAACCTTTTTTTCTTTGATTTTGGGCAAAACTACTAAAAGAAAAAAAATTTTAAGGTAAAGATATCAGGCTTTTTTTGCTACAGCAATACATGTTGAATTTTTCCACAAAAAGAACACATTCAATAACAGGTAAAAAGATCTAATATTTCAAGCACTATGTAGCTTCTTTTGTTATTTTCTTTTAACTGTTCATGCATGAAAACAGTGAACTGTAATACCAATCAAAACAGAAACATACTACGTATTATGAATACGTGGATTATTTTTGACTATGTATTGCTTTTGATAGATTTGGTTTAGATTGAATTAAATTATAAAGCTGTTTGCAATCAATATCGACATTATTCAATCTTAAAAAAGTACGTTTCTATTTTTAAAAAAATGACGGATGAATCTATACATTCTTAAAAATCTACTTTTCTAAAAAACGAAAAATCCTCTAGTAATATATGTATACGCACTCCTAGAACATACTGAGTCGAAATAGATTTGACTGGAGTTTTCTTGCAGACGAGTTGAAGAAAAGTCTTTTTTGCAGGTTACTTATAAGCATAAGGACATGACTAATTCGAAAATATCTCTGCTCAGGTCGTACCCGTTACCGAGATAGGAGGCATTAAATAACCATAAGTAGCTCGAGTACAGTATAGAGACATGTTGCCAGGTGCGAGCTTACTTTTCATTGGTAGAAATCGTGAAAAAATCAGAAGTCCAAAATTTGAAAAATTTGTGCGCTCTCCCCACCTATGGAAGACGTTTTTATAAAATTATCACTGCCAGAGAATTTAAGTACAAAGTTACAGCTGCCTAAGTAATCAAATTCACCAAAAAATCTTGCCTTCGGAGCAATAAATAAGAGTCACTTTTTAGGAAATAATGTCTCTTATCTCGGTATCGGAAAAGATCTGAGCAACGATATTTTCGAATTAGCCATGTCGTTATGCTTATAAATAATTTGCAAAAGAGATTTTTCTTCAACTCGTCTGCAAACAAAATTCAGCCAAATCTATTTCGAGTCCATATGGTAATTAAAAGTGAGCCATCGCACGTTGGGGACGAACTAAGTTACTGAATCAATGTCTAAGTTTTTTGTTCATATTTGCAAAGTAGGCAGCAGCGACAGACTTAAGAAGATTCCCAAAAGATTTTCATCGGAACCTGCTTCCTTCAAAAGTTATGGCATTTTCGTAAAATGCCCTAAAAGCAGGCTGAAACCGTTTTACTTGAAAAATTTGTTGTTACATTTAATATTACTGATATCTATTGCATAAGTGTATCTCTACTATAAACTACAAATTGATCGGAATGGTTATTGCCACTCTCTGAGAGTGTCAACAACAGTCGTCATATTTTTACTTTTGAGTCTAAGTTCCGGCATGCTTTATGAATTTCTTAACATTGGAGTTCTAAGAATGTTTTTGCTAACGCAAAACTGGCTATTGAGGTTCTGAAGGTCAGCATAAATCAGTGCTTGCATTGCTATTGGTTTCCATTGTTTATCAACATCGGCAGGACTAAGAAAACACTAACAATAAATAAAGTAGGACAATTAAGTTTTGACACATAATAAAGAATTTTGTTGTAGGAAATGGTCCTTTATTCTGACTTCATTCTAAGTCAGAGTTCACAAAAGGATAAGAGTGAGCTAAATCTGTAACGCGCGTGGAGTACGTCCGCACAGAGGTAAGGTCTTGTGCAGATAAATGTTAACACTCTCAGAGAGTGACGATAGCTCTTGCTGACACTCTGAAAGAGTGACAATAGCTCTTGTTGGCACTCTCAGAGAGTGACAATAGCGCTACTCTAAATTCATTTAGTACAAGTTGCTAAGTTGTTGCACGGATGAGCCTAAAACGGTGTAGAATGTGAAAAATGGTCTATTTTGCATGAGTTTGTCATGCTATTTCTAATCGTCCATCAGAAAGTTTTTCATAAAAATTTTTACACGTTGTCCAAAGTGAAGGACAGCGAAAGATTGTTTAAGACAGCAGAGAGTATATTTTCTTCAACAAATCTGAGAGTAGTTCGGGTTCTTTGCCATTGAGCATTGTTAACAAGCTCTCTCGCTAATATTGGGTATTTGGAAGGTCTGACCGGTCGGAGCTCAGACTTTCATTATCTGAACACTAAGGCAACCGAGCACGTTTTCCGGATCAGAATGGCTCTTAGAATATGT